CATTAAATCATTTATAACAATTACCGTTATTAGAAATATTGTGGACTTAATGGAAATTCTGGACCAATTTTCACCCAATAATGACTGCTATATTGAATAAAGAGGTTATTAGCTAAGACATGCTTCTGAAAAAAAACGAAGATAAATTATTTGAAAAAAAAAGTCAACCACATAAAAGGTAAAAAGAAAAAAAAAATGATGTTAATTTTTATTTATACTTTAAATAAAGATGTTGACAATCATTTTGTATTTTTCTTTTTTAAATAATAGTAGTTAGATAAAAATTAGTTGATAGTTTGTAATGGTTAGTATTAATGAAAGAGATTTTTCAATGTATTTTATTGTATATAATAGAGTATAAAGAAAAAAATAATAATTAATGTTATATTAAATTTAGAAGATACCAGTCAAATATAATAAGATATTTTAAAAATTTCTAAATATTAGTGGAAGACCACAAAAATAATACTAAAAATTCATAATATAGAATCCATATTTGTTTTTCTCATAGGAGATTTCTTGTTACTCTAATAACGTGTTTCTCTAATTTCTTAGAAGTATAGATTAGTGTATTTTATTAGATTTTCATTCTCACCTTCTATTAAAATGTCATTAGAAAAAGGTATTTATTTCCAATAACATATCAATTGTCATGCATTGAAAGTATATACGTGAATGTATTAAAATAAAACATTTTTAAATACAATTTGGGTTTTATAAGTAAGTTATAATTAACTTTTTTTACCAAGACAATGCCAAAATTTAGAAAATTCCATCCAACATTGTCCGATTTTAAAGATGACAAAGTTTAATAAGAACAAAATCACAAGACTCACACTAACACTCAACTAACAAATTCAACAAAGTCTCATCATTTTCAAATATAATCTATCAATTACATGCACATAATTTTCAATTTATTATCGAGCTAGAACTCTTCATTACTATTACATTATTCATGAAATGCAAGAATAGATAAAAAATTATGACTAAATTAATTGATAAGAAAATGATTGAAAATAATGTCAAATTTTGGAGAAGTATTCATCAACGATGCTCAGGAATCATAATGCTTCTTTTTGTTGTCAAGTTTTCTTCTATTTTGATCAGGTATGTGACAATGAGCTAGAAGACTAGGCTTCCTTGGTAGTTTTCTATTACATAGCTAAAGTTGAACTTTTGTTTTGTACATGCACACACCATTTAACTCCTTTAGGCCAAAAACAATTTAGGAACTTGTTTTTCATTAGTATTGCGTGTAGTGCATTCATGATTTTCAGCTACTCCATTTTTTTCGAGGCATGTAGGTTGTAGTTAATTGTCGGGAAATTCCTTGAGTTTAGGGAGTTCTTCAAACCCATATATGTAAATTCACCTCCTTAGTCTGTCCTTACACATATGATGCAACCGACTTCTTTTTCAAAACCACTATTTGAACCTCTTATTGTTGTCTGAGAATGGTGTGATGAGACTACAAACGTCAACATGAATGAGCTGAAGTTGTTTTGAAGCCCTTCATAAGAATTTTTTCGATTATCGATTCCCTTTATTGTTTTGCCAACCAATCATGTTTCGCAAATTTTGCTTTGGAATTCTAGTGGTGGAAGTCCTGCGATCCATCTCTTTGCATGCAAGTGTGCTTCAGTCCTTTGTAGCTAAGATGGCCAAAACAGCAGTGCCACAAATGTGTTTCTTCATCGAAGCGAGTATTTGTTTTGCATACACATTGACTCTTTAAATGTTACACATATTATCATGCAAAACATTTTGTTACCCTTCATGTTAGAGTGCATAATCAATCCCTTCTTTGGATGGAATATAGTTGTTTTGCTAGATTAGGACGGATAGACCTTTCTCATGAACTTGTCCTAAACTGAATTATTTGTAGCTTAGGGACAAAATAAACATCTTATAAAGTAAAACCATTTATTTTTACCCAAATGTTTCCTTTTGCAACCACGATCATTGTTGTATTATTTCCAAGTTTCATAATTTTGCATAATCCTTCCTCAAAATCAAAAAATCATTCTTTACTTCTCGTCATATGGTTGTTATAATGAAATCTAGAACCATACATCCTGTGTGGTGTGATGAAGTTCTTCATTACCATTAATAGAAACTCTTCATCTTCTTCATCAAGTTCTTCATAATGACCCTGCCTTCCCAATCTGGACACTCATATTGGTAATGATCCAGTTGGTGACATTTAAAGCACTCAATGAGCGATTTATTAGGTGATTGTCTACCTCTTCCACATTATGGTTTTTGTGACCTCCTGTAAATGAATCTTTGTTGCCCCGCCCTTAAAAGGTCCATTATCATTTGTTACCTTCTGAACTTGTTCTTTTATTTGGAAGCCTTACCTACATTGTTCATGCATCAAAAGGTGTAGTTCATCTATACTTAAAATACCGAAAAAATTTAACTCTTCCATCCAACATACAACATAGTTGAATTTTGATGTCAAAGATCTAAGTATTTTGGCTAACAATTGTGCTTTGAATAGCCACATGAGAGGAGACTGGAAGTGCGACAACGCACCACAAACTTGAAAAAGGAAAAACAGTGACATCACACTCTAAATCGCTGCGAGACGTGTCATCATGCATGACAGAAAAAGAGCATATCAACAACTTCAAAAGACTTTGAAAGATGAATGTATCGTCGAAGGCACAATGGTCGCCTGACCAAGATGATCAAAATCGTGTGATCGTCGATTGAAATTGGAATTCGGTAACGATATATTTGTGGCTCCTCTTCTATTACTTACAACTTGAACTATACTTACTTTTACTACTTACTTCTATTACTAAGCATTACTTACTTACACTTTTCATTACTTAACTTTTGCTTTCTACTTCTACTTACTTTTATTACGTACTTACTATTACTTAACGCTACTTGTTTACTTTACGGTTTAAACTACTTACTATTCTTTTACTTTACTCTTACTACTCTACTTACTACTTACTTCTCACTAACTACTTTAACTTGACTACTTACTTACTTACTATTACTACTATTACTTTCGTTTTACTTACTACTTTGCTACTACTCTATTACTTAACTGAACTTTATTACTACTTTAACTTTCTGTACTTAGACTTTCTATTACTATTCTACTATTACTACTATCCTTACCTAACACACTTACCTTTTTACTTTAATTACTTTTTACTTTACTTACTCTACTAACTACACTTTTACTTTTTACCTTTACTACTTTTTTACGACTACTGAACTTCTTACTTACTTACTACTTACTTTTACTTTACTAACTATTACTTACTTACTTTACTTTCTTCTATTACTACTTACTTCTTTTACGTATCTCTTACTTACTTACTTGCTATATACTTTATAACTACTTTACTTTACTTTTATTTTACTCTTTTTACTCACTTTACTTTAACTCTCTTCTATTACTACTACTTTACTACTATTACTACTTACATACGTTTACTTCTTTGTTAACTAACTACGTTTACTTTTACGAATTACTTACTACTTTATATTAACTACTATTACTACTCGTACTTACTACTTACATTTACTTTAACTTAACTATCCCGTATGCTTACTTTACTGAACTTTTACTTTTTTCTTAACTTACTGCTTACGTTTACACTTATCATTACAACTTTCCAACTTATTTTTTGACTTTTTAACTTGACTACTATTACTAGCTATTACTACTTTTTGTAACTCCTACTATTACTTGACTACTTTACGAACTACTTACCTTAACTTGATTGCTACTTTTTACTACTCGTACTTCTTTATTACTTACTAAACTTGTACTCTGACTGACTTACTACTTACTACTAATACTACTAACTACTTTTTTTTACTTACTACTTTACTTACCTTTACTTTTTTTTTTTCTACTTATTTTAATTATACTACTTTTACTTTTACTTTACTTATAATACTACTTACTTTTTTTACTTAACTAACTTACTTACTTAACTACTACTTTTACTTTACTACTAACTTACTTTGACTTTTTTACTTGCTTTTACTACTATACTTACTTACTGCTCTTTTACTACTACTTGATTTTTTAATACTACTTTACTTAGACACTACTACTACTAACTACTTACTTACTTTACTTTTTTTAACTTTTACTTTCTATTTACTTACTTTTACTTCACACATTTGAATTCATTTTGGTCAACCAAATGGAGAAGTATGCCTCTGTAGCTGTCAATGTTCAATTCAACCTCATAAACAAAAAAAAAGAAAAATCTTCTTAGTGGTGTGAAGTTGTTTTTTTTTTTGGCCTCTGTGGACTTTTGAACTTTCATGGATTTCCATATTTCCTTTAAAGTTTCCCTAACTTGTCTGTCAATGACTTGGAATAAAAAATTCTTGACTTTCAAAGTCTTTGAGCTTGGCCTCTTCTATAGTCTTCCCCTGAGCTTCTATATTTTCCTAATATTTAAGAAGTTAAAATGCCATCAAACTGTAGAATGACTTGGACTGAAAAACTTAGACGACATGATCATGTTTTTTTTCTTCTGGTTTCCTATCCTTACAATTGCATTGATCGCACTTTCCACATTGTGGGTCATTGCGTGCACTCTTACCCTCCACATTAATTTTCACTCCTCACACGGTAATTTTCACTCAGGTCCCTTTTAGAGCTCTAATACCAGTTGTAAAAGGCAATGAAAAATAAAAATGCTCACACACTCGATGGAAACAACACTCATGTATTATTAATGAATTGAATGCGACTTGTATAAACATATATACAATAACATAATGCAATGCACTGAGAAATAATCAACACATTACGTGGTAAACGTTAACTAATAGAAAATAGCGGAACAAAAAAAACTGATTCTACAAACCAGATCTTATTCCAACTTTGTCACGTGACATTTATAAAGTTTAAGTTATAAATTAAATTTTATTTATCAAAACTATACCAAAATTTAGAGAAATGCATTAGACATCGCACGTTTTTAAAACAAAAATCACACGACTTACATAAACTCAACCAACAAATTCAACATCTTCAAATATATATAATCTATCAATTACAAACACATAATCTTCAATTTATTACACATTCATCTGCGGAGCTAAAACTCTTCAGTACTATTACATTATTCATGGAATGCAAGAAGAGACATAAACTATGACCAAGATAACTGACAAGAAAATGTTCGAAAATAGTGTCAAATTTTGAAGTTGCCAAGGGGAACTCTCTTCAGTGGTACAAGAACTCAGGACCTCACTGAAACACATTTGTGTGAACCATAAACAAGTCACTTGATGGTTTGAAATCCTTGTCCCTGACAAAGAGGGTGTATCACTTTGATCATGACCATCATCTTTGACGAGCTTTGGTATAAGCCATCAATGAGGCATGTGCTGTCGAAGTGACATATCTCTGAAAGTAACTGTTTTGTGTATCAATGATGCTCCCATTTTCTGGGTGTTCAGTTCCTTCTTCGTTTCATCTGTGCCCTTCCCTACCATGAGGAAACTAACCATCAACTTCACAACTTGTTCAGCATAAGAAACTGCCACAGCCTGAGTATAGAGCAGAAGTTAGGTTCTCCACAAAAGATATGAATCACCAGAAAACTATAATATCCTAGTGTTATAGTTTTAATTTATGTTAGTGTTTATTACTCAAGAAATATAACAATATAACTTTAAACAATGTTTCAAGGGAACAAAAACACATATTTAAGCAATACACGTCACTCCAACAAGTTATTTTACCTGGAAGAAGCAAAGCCAACACCCATAAGAAAAGAAGCACTGGTTGATAACTGCATAATATGCAGATTCATAGTTTTGACCATGAGCAACATGCATCTTCAACTGCAGCTTAGTTTGTCCTTTGTGAGTGGTGTGGTCTTCATCATTGAGATATTTGGTGTTTTGTGGATCTTTAAATTGACTGAAATTTCTAAAACATGGACAACATTCAATTAATGAAACATGTTTTTCAAGAACAAACTACAGAAGAACACAAAACACCAAATAGTCCTTTCTATTTTTGTATACTAATCTGTCCCTTTTTATCCATCTTGCCATATTTATATCATCTTTTATTAAAGAACCTCAGAGAGCATATATTTTTAGCACTGCCTAAATGGCTGAAATATTCTCAATATCAAGAACAATCTCTGAAAGAGTACCTGAATTTGGGCCCAAAGCCCATCATGATGGCATCTGGGTTTCCTAATAAGTTACATCTTCATAACACTGCAAAAATGACAAACACAGATATATCAGCACTGGTTTCTCCGTGTTTCTTTAAGCACTGATAAATTATGTCAAAGCAACATTTTCTGCTTTAAGAAACAACACGTACCCATTTCATAGTTGAAAACATTCAACATGATAAACAATTTTATTATTGTCACCGGTTAAGTACACGTTCAGCAACTAGATTATATATAAAGACCACAATAATTGGAGGTAACGTGTCACTCCCAATAACATATAATTATTAGTATATACACTTGGCAACAAGTAATTGGAGAGAAGGATTTCAGTTTCCATCTACTGAAGTTGAAGGCTTCTACATCTCAACCTGTTATATTCAACTATACATGTTCTCTCAGTTTACATTGGCTAATTTTATGATAATAAATCAGTCTTCAGAGACTTCAAACCTGGTAAACATTAGTCAATAGCGTTTCCGTACACAAAATCTACAACCCTCCAATCTCCTCAATTGTTTCATTATTGATATATCTGCTAATTAAATACCCTTTATATGGGACCATCTCTTGCTTTATTTACTGGTTTATTTCATTTGTTCCGACATAGATTATCTTGTTTAATTCGGTGCAGATCATATACCAAATAAATTAATGAAAGGTAATTCTTTAAACGAACAATGAAAACGTTTTTCATTGGTATAAACACACAGATTCATTTAAAATAACACAACCCAATTGCATGGATTTAGCATATGAAAAAGAATATTCACAGAATCATATAGAAAAAGTAGAATATAAAAGTTACCTGAAAGCAATGGATATTAGGTTATCGTGTTTGTAATGGCTTCAGATCAAAACTTCGAACCTACCCACCAAGCGTACCAACAGATCAATCAAGAACTCTTCCATCAAAACACTTCATAAGGACAATATCTAACCAAACCACACCCAACAGAACCAACAAATAAAAGTTTGAAACTTTGAAGTTTTAGTACGTCTAAAGTGTTGTGATGAAAACAGATCTGCATCTCCAACTATGAAGAGACAGCAGAAAAATACTTAAAACCCAGTGTTTCAGGTAATCCTAAACATAAATTAATTACCTTGCAGTGTCAGGTGATTAATGATAAGAATAACCAAAAAGGAAAGTGAGTTCCCTTGAGTTTAAAGATGAAGTGAAGCACAAGAATCATGGTTTTTAAAACAATGAACAAGAGAGAAAACGTAATGAATAACTTGAACTGAGAAAGATGAAGAGGGTGAAGGAAAAGCCACATACAAGCTTATGAGCACAGAAAGAAAAGGATCGTTGGCACTTGTCCCATGCGGATGTCTATCAATGCATTGTTTCCCTCACTTGTAAAGAGACATAGGTCTTAAATAATCATAATGTCGGAAAATGAAAAATAAAAAATAAAAAGGTTAGAGAGTAACGTTCATTGAACCTGGACAATGAAAACATAGTACATAAGAAGCAGTAAAAAAAGTTTGGTATAGACACGCCGCATCTGTAGGAAAAGAACAAAGCAAAAGTTATAGAGTAGCATCACTATCATTCACCATCCATGCATCATGTTTCCTTTTTTAAATTTTCACTCACCATCATTCGTTATCGATGATGCATCATGGTAATGCATGCTGTTGTTTTCTCCATTCGGAAAAGAACACGACGCTTCTTAATCTTTGGTTGACACCAAGGGTTCAAGTCATAAAGTGTGTTCATATGTATAGGCTCCATAAACATGTATGCATATTTATAAAAAATGTGGAGAATATTTTCAAAAGCATCTTTGTATATTTATATTTTACTAGAAACTAAATTTTCATAAAAGTAAAACTTTTTTTTACAATTTCTTCTTTTTGCAAAATAAAATCTGCTCCAAAATTAGATTAGTCAATAAATTTTACAAAGTATTCCTTTGTATATATGCCTAGGCTTAAACTCGCAGCCTAAGGATGGTGGTAATCAAATATTTTAAGTCTTCAATATATGTTTTCAAAAATTAAGATATACATCTGTTCTAAAAGATTCAACTTATGAACAATAATCATAAAAGTGTACGACATGAACATTTAATTTAACTTTAGAAAATATGTTTTTAAAGTAAGTTTTATTTTCAGTTTATGTAACCTCTCAGACACATTTTATGCTAAAACATATAGTAAATTAGATATTAGTGGCAATCTAATAACAAATAACATAATCAACTCAACCAACAATAAATTTTATTAAAATAAGTTTTGAATAATTTTCAATGGATTCCAAATCTAATTCAATCTTATAAATGAAACAAGATTTATTCTCATATTTATATATATATATATATATATATATATATATATATATATATATATATTTATATATATTATAAATTTATTTTATTTTTAATTAATGTGGTGGATGGATAGAATATATGAAATAATGCATGATTTTGATTGTGGTATAAACGTTCAAATCTATACTGGCTGGATATTTCCTGTATTCGCCATTGATGTCACTCTTGACATTTTCTGCGAAGAAAGCCACAGAATATTCTTCCTTTACCTACTCTTTTTTTCCCTTATAAAATTAAGTACTTTAGGACAAAATAATAGATAAATAAGAGGAGTCATGAGATAGCAGTGATGAATGTTAAATGTTGATGCATCTAGACATGTCTATAGTGCATATACATTAGTATTTTAATTTTTCATACGAGATGTATGGGAACAATTATGCAGATTGTTTACAGAAAACAAGGTTGGCGGAGGTAAATGTGATAAACCACTCAAGCAAATAAATGCACAAATGTCTTCTCACTCACCGAAAAAGCATAATTTCACACACATAATCTTTTATACTCATTTAATATTATTTTTTTATTTTATATTTTTTCAAAAAAAAATTACAAAAATTCATTTTCTTATAATCATTTTATCTTTATTATATATGTGTTACTTTATTATTATTCCTCAAATTTTACCCATTTTTGTTATCAAATGATTGTGAAAATGAATTAAGAAATTGGTTTTAAGCTAGTTTATAAAGAGATGTTTTTAATTTAATTTTATGAAATTTTTAACACATTTTCTTAGAAAAAAATCAAATATTTTAAATGTAAGATTATATATTAACATATAATAATGAATTATAAAGTCCAATAATCATTGTTAGACTATATTCTTATATTATATTAAAAAGCAAAGTTTAATCATGAAAAAAAAAATGATAGAAGAGAAAGTTAGTATTTACCCTTATTTGTTATGTACCGCAAAATAAGGTGGAAACATTAATTATACTAATGATGTAGTTTTTGATTAAAATTAAAATTTGCAATTGACATAAATTTGTGTATGCTGCTAATGACACATTTAATAAGTGAGAGTTCTTTTGGCAGGAATCAATTTGTCCATAGCATATACTTAAATTATTTACTTTTTAAAATAGTACTTAATTGCATGACATGTAAACAAATTATTTGAATAATGCAGTTATTAAATAATTTTAGTAGTAAGCACTCAAATTAAGGAAGACATCAATTACGACACTCAGCCAACCATGTTTGAAATTGAAGTTTGATTTGACAAAGAGGTCAACACTAACACGATGTTTGAGCTTTGAAACTTTTAATATCAATTAAGTGTTTCACATGCTAGTTTTAATAATAAAGATAGAGAAAGTGGTTTTGATTAGACTTTAGGTCCAATTTGTGAAGGGAAGTCACTTCAACCTAAATGTTCAATAAATTTATATTAATATTTACAAGTAATATTTCACCCTTAAATAATCAACAAAGAATCCATTGATACAAAGTAAATATCCTTTGTTATTTAAAATAAATATTTAAGATAAAGTAAATATTGTCTTTAAAAATATTTAGTTCTCATACCAATTTTCTTAGAATTTTTCTATAAATTTTTGTGTAAAATTTGTGAGAAAATGATTTTGGCTCTCATGTGTTATGATAAGTTATAACCTTTTTAAGATATTGCCAATTCTAAAATTGGGTGACTTTACATGATTTTTTTTTCTTAAAAAATATTTTAATGGAATAAGGAAAGATACCATAAACTACCTTAAATATAAATTTTTAAATAATGTAAAACTTTAAACATACTAAAACACTAATGATACAGTCTTAGAGACTCATTTCAATTTTATAGTAAGAATTCTACCGTTTTCATGGTCAAATAAAAGTGAACACGTAGATTTCCACTTTACAAGAACGTGACACGAAATTGAGCAACTTGTTTTTTGATGTCAGATTTTATTGTGGGAATGGAATGGTGGGTTGATGTCAGAAAAAAATAATGAAAGAAAAGTTAAACTTTTTCTTAAAAATATTAAGATATGTATTTTTTTAATGATAAGAAGTAAAATGTACTTTCTTTTTTTAAGGTTTATGCAGTATTCGGCGATGAAATGTCACGACATGGTAATATGGTATACTGATCTGGTGGTGCACATGAACAGAACACAAAGTAACATATTTTTTAGTACTTGTTACACTTTTCCGTCACAGTCACAACCCCTTCTTTTGATCTTGGCAAAAAGTCATGATTTAGAATAAAAAACATCGAACATAGCAAGAACAAGTGCCAAGTTGGTGATGGAAGATGTTACCACAAGAGTTGAAAACATGACATTACATGAGAACAGATGTTGAACCAATTATGTTCTCATTCGTTATGGTGACAACTGAGTTCATAGTGCCACAATGCATCAGCAGCTTTTTTTGTTGTTTCTTTGACTTGTAATGGAATGAAAGCTACACATTTGGCTATTGGCACTTTCATCAAGAATATTTTCAATATATGCAGGAAATATAACCACAACACAAACTTGGTGGGTGGAAGATTTAACTTGGGAAAAAGTTCAAGACATGAACCAAACACGATCTTATTGATTCCGATGACATCACTTTGACAGCATGTATTAGCGGATTCTTTCTCTTCTTGTTGCTCCTTATTCTTTAAGGTTTGACAATGTAATAGAGAGAAAACTACATATTTGGCTAAAACCTAATTTACCTCTTTATTCTTTATGAAGATCTCTTCGATGAGCAGATGGACTAATGGCACTGTCTAAGGTCAGGAGGATGAACTATTGCTATCATAGATTACATTATTTACCATCTGAGAGCTTTTATTTTACTTGGACAAGAAAGTATCTCCAAATCCTCTTCCAAAATTCAGGCTTGAGTATGATTGAATTCAATGAAAACTCACCAATAAAAAGCAGATAACTATAGTGTGGTTGTATCTATGGGATAGCAGCCCAGCACCCGAAGAAATGTGGCAAATTCCTGTAGGCACAAAATGGTTTTGATATGTGGTTAGATACTCATGATATGAAAAAGGGATAATTTTTTACATTTCTCATAGTGAAAAAACACATGGAAATGCAAGGATCAATTGCCTAAACACAAAACTAAGAAGCTTTGGACATTCTTTAAGATCCTCATGGCAGATCAAAAGCGGATGATGTTCAATTAAGAATCATATAGTATCATATAGTATTTAAAATCATAAAATTGCCTAAACACAAAACTAAGAATCATATAGTATTTAAAATCATAAAATTTCAATACATTATTTTGTTAATTGGATTTTTATGAATTTTATTTGTATGTATAAATATACTCTCACAAAAGAATCTAATCCAAATGTGAGATTATCTACTCTTATATATTCAAACTTCTCTCATTCTTACCAGTGCCAGTAAAGTTTTCTTACTTTTTCTACATTGTTTTTTGCTATGATTATATAGGTTATTGCTTTCTACAGTGTTATTTTTTTTGTTATTGACATTATCATTACATATGACTGTTTAATAAATGAAAATATACTCTCTCTTTTTCTAATTTGACGTTGTTATGTCTTTCTTTGGCTTACTGGGTTTTTGAACATTTTATTTAAACCATGATTGTTTTTCAATATGTTAGACTCATCTATGGTCAACAAGTTGAAAGTGCATAGATATATACTGAAACACACTTTTAAATTTCACAAAACGACTTTGATTTCTTAATTTTTTTCTTTGCTAAAAAGAAAAATCACGTAAGAAATTAGTGACCTACTATAATTCCTTTTTCCTAACTTACTAATAGAGTGCTTATATAGGTTCTATCATTTTGAATTAATGAAGAGTAGTGAGGGGATTCTTTGAATGTATTTCTTTTTTCTTGTATGAGTTTATGTTTCTCTTATTTATTTTTGTCATTTTCTTTACTATTTTTTTTAAAAAAACCTTTTATTTTCTTGTTTATGTATGTTAGTTTGGTATAAAAATAATATCATAATATAATAATTAGTTCCTAAGGCAACAAAGGTAAAAATAATTCAAATCACAAAATAAGAATTCAAAGAACTTACC